CCCCCCCCCCCCCCCCCCGCCAGTGGGCTGTTGTGAGGTTAGATTATTTTGGACAAAATGTCAAGAAATCAGGGATGCAGAACCACGTTCAGTCTGAGGGCAATTTTTGAAAAAGTTTCAGGAGCCACATTCCTGTGCTGAACATGATCCAAAAATAATAATAAAAAAGATACCAGTTCCCAACAACCAAGCCTTAGGAGAGGCAGCTCAATATTTTAGAATGTGGGGAGGGGGTGGCACAAAAGCTGGGAAAGCACCAAATGTTTGGTGCAGGAAGAGGGACCAGGCAAAGAGTTGTAGTCAGAAGGCCTGACTGGGCTGATGGGCCTGAGCTTCCCCGCTCCAGAACAGAACACCTGCTTACTAGACTAAAACTAGGTTCATCACTGTCAGTTACTTTCTTTCTTCTCCCACCTTGGCAGGTATGATGACAGACTCAGAGCAAGCCTCTCAAAACCAAGAGTTCGGCCGACAACCACGCATAGCCCCAGCCCACCCAGCTGGTTGCCGGCCCCATGGAGAGCCCTTGCACCAATGCTAGAATAGAGGACTGTGCCGCTGCCCCCGGTGACTGTCACGGCAAGGATGCGACCACCATCCTTATGACCGTTCAAAAGCTGTCCTGTGGTCTGGTGTGGGAGTCCCCCTGGAGTAGACAAGTGCGACCAGACGGTGTGGCGGGCCTGGCAGTATTGGCACTGGGCATACGCAAAGTCAGTCAAACTCAACTCAATGTTCTTTTCTTCGGGCCTACTCAAATTTGGGCAAACACTGGACGTAGCCCACAGTCCTGTTAACACGGGCTTTATCCACATCGTGGCCCTGCCAGCAAAAATCAGCAGCTCTCAAAATGAAGAAAGGAAGTGAAGGCCACTTCCTTGGCTCAGAGTGCACTATGGCAGTCCTTGGAAGGAAGGCACAAGACTGGACTCGTCAGAAGGGAAAGTAGGATAAATGGACGGTGCTTGGATTAGACGTCGCTGTCCTCTCGGGGACTTGGGGAGAACATCAGTTCCGCCCTCGGCCAAGCCCTGTGTCCACCCTAGGCAGGAGTTACAGAGAAGTGCCATGCGTGACCAGGGCCCACGCGGCAGCCCAGCCTTGCACGATCAAGGGCCTCACGCAGGGGCCACTTCCAGGCTGGCTGCTGTAAATGTGGAGACTGACTGGAAGGCTGGGAATGCCGAGCACAGCCCCTCCCCACAGACTTCTCAACACACTTACAGGGAACTGTTAGGGAGCTCATCCGGGAAGCTGCCAGGAGAGAGGGAGGAGTCTGCCTGCTCCTGTATACTGCCACTCCCTGTCACCATCTGCCAGCTGCCAAAGTCGGTAGAGATGGAGGATCCAGGCAGAGAGTGCTCAGCCAATCTGGGGCAGAGAGAGAGAGATGAGATGATGCAAGTCAGTGGCTTAACCAGCAACCGGCCTTTGGCCAAAGTCCTCACTGGCCCCTCAGAGTGACGCTGAAAGGTGTGTCTCGAGAGCAGGCGTCAAGGACACCAAGTTGTGGGAGATCAGGGAGGCCAGGCTGCATCTCTAGCACAGAGAAGAAAGAAAGAGATGTCTGTCTCATTAAGAGGACAAATAATTGAGCTGCAAGGCAGGCAGGACTGAGCTGAACCAGCAGTTAGTCATGCAGGAGCTGCAAAAGCCAAGAGCAATCCTGCCCAGAGCACCAGAGAAGCTGGTGCAGCTCCCTGACAAGAGCATCCATGCTGTCTCGTGCAGGCCAGCACACTGATCCAGTATGAATTTGAGGTGGGGGGAGGATGCAAAGAAAGAAGAACTGGGCTTGGTCTGTGCCTCCCAGGGGAAGGTGGAGCTTCAAATCTCTCCCTCTCTGCACCTCTCAGCCAGGTGAGTGCTCATATTCTGAAGCAATAACCCCAGTTCTCTCTTCCATAGCAGGTGGGAGGGACTGCCTCCTGGAGGTGGACTGGACCAGAGAGGGTCATGTGCTGGCAGAAAGTTAAGCAGCAACAGGCATTTACGGCAGAAAAAAACGACCCAGGAAGCAGAAGAACAGAGAGAGGATCCCAGAGAACAACCTCCGGGACAACCTCAGAGAGCAAAGCCTGACTAGCCCCATTCCCACCTTCCTCCAAAGACAAGCCTTTCGGCCGCTTGCCACGCTCACGTCCTTCATCTTGTCCTAGAATGTGCAGCTCGCAGCTCAAGGCCAACAAGCAGCCACTGAGCGGCCAGGAACGGTGCAAGCTGGGTGATCCGGGAGCAGTAAAGCCAATGGGAGCAAAGCAGCATCAGTTCCGCAGCAGCAAGCTCATAAGGAGACCGTTTTTTAAAATAAAGATCCTTCGGGCTATTGCTTTCAACTGGAGCCCAGCAGCTGCTGGCATTTTGCAGCATTACCATTAGCACTCCTTACCTGAAAGGTCATTTGGATGTACAGGGAATAATCCAGATTTTTCTTTTTAAGGCCATGATACCAAGGATGAAACTGTTTGGCTTCTACTTCGGGCATATACCACTTCTCCTCCCCCAGCTAGAATAGGCCGTTGCCACCTCTGAGCAAAGTTCCTTACCAGCGCTGGCCCATCAGCTGGGTCACTGCCCCTCAATGAACTGGGATGCAGGCTTTACATCAAACATGCATTTACTTTCTGTCTTCATAGCCGCAAACTATTCAAGATAGCTTACAGTCCCACAGAAGAAGGTATGTTTTTTCATGATGAACCTGAATGCATGGCAGAGGGGAAGTAGGCAACATAAGAATGTAAACCATCCAGAAAGTCCTGTGGGACTATTAGTGCGGTATATAAGCTGGAGAAGGAGAAAAGGAAGGAAAGAAGGAAAGAACAAATGACCGAATGAATGAATGAACAAACAGTCTGGGCCAGTCAGAAAGATCATGAAATCCAACTCCCTGCTTCCCATAACAGCCCCTCAGGTGTCTCCAGGAACACTTCAAAAGTTGGTGTTCCAGGTCCTATTGCCTATACGAAATAGGAGGTTCCACATAATTGCCATGACTAGGAGCCACTGAATGTGGCTGTCAAGAAGCTCCTAAGAACCAACACTCTGATGTCCTAAAAGCCAGGCAGAGGAACCCACTGATGTCCCTTCCTTCCACCTTTCTGCTTACTACTTTGAGAGTGATGTGGATTTGCACCACCACAACAGACCAAGAAAGACGAGGCCTTTGTCTTCACAGCAATCCCCTCTGGAGAGGGAGCCATACATGTGCTCACCGCATCTTTAAATAATGGCATAATGGAGCAAAGGCGTGAGGGAGAGAGAGAAACAAGCACCCATCTGTGCCTGCCTCTGCTTTGAAGGTGTTTACAGCAAGAGCTCTGAAGCCCAGAGATCTCTCCAAGAGAAGCAGGCCAGCAAGCTTAGCTTATAAGGCTATCAAAGCAAGGCTGAGGAGCAGCAATGCGGAGAACTAGAAGCACGAGGAAAGTGCAGGGGGAAGGAAGAACAGATGTGTCTGGTGGGGTCAGGCATTAGTGACTTCGGAAGCCACTGGCACGCGGACTCCCTCTCCTGCAGTCATGGCAACCATTCTCCCACCGTTTGCAATGGAGGACAACATGGCTGGTTCGAAGAAAACCCCCATGCTAACAGAAAGAAAGGCTTGGCAAATGCCTGACCAAGGCGAAAGAGAGAATAGGACTGGAAGGACATCACTGCCGTTGCTGTGGAGATCAAGGAAGTGGGGTGGGGGTGGGGAGGAGAAACCGATCTCCCTGGTAGAGTTCAGATGGGAAAGAGGCCTCCTGCAACACTAAATGGTGCAAAAGAGCATTCTGACAGATAGGAATAGTTTTGGTCCCAGGTCAAATGGATGATAGATGTAGTTCCTGAAATTCTCATGAACCAGATCAGCCCACCTTTTAAAAATGGCCAGGAAATGCTCAAGGTTGTGGTGGTGGAACAAGCCAGCCAATGTGTTCAATGTGGGGAAGGGTGTGATTCCGAATAGCTGAAAGATCCCAGGCCTGAAGTTTAAATCCATCCCAAGGCAGTTCCTTCTGATAGTTCACATTTTCCAGAGATTTGGAGTTTTGGACTTTTTGTACATTCTGACCAAGTTCACATACTTCAGCCTGCCAACAACGCATCCATCCAAGATGTGAAATCCATGGGATACCAAATGCCAGGAATGGAAAGCAAGGAGTGCCAGTGGAGAAACCGGTGGCTTCTTGGTCAGCAGAGCACAAGTGAGAGAAAGCCAAGGAGAGAGATCTGGCATATCCATAGGAACACGAAATTGGAGGCATGAGCTTAGAGACTCGGCCAAAGCGATTAGGCCCAGGATTTATTTCCATCCATCTGTGCAGCCCAAACTCTAGAATCTAGTGGAACTTTTTGTGTTCTGGTGTAATCTACTTCCGTTTTAAAAAACACAGCAAATTTCTATCCCTCATTGCTTCAAAGGAAAGTTGAGAGAGAAAAAGGTGATGTTGCAAAAAGATGATTCAGGCATGCTGTTCACACAGAACTAATGTTCCCAATATTTCTACCCAGGTGATGTAGCTCATCTTTCCGGAAGTGCATGTCTTTTCTTGCTTGTTACTTTACCACCACAGTTCTTCTTAAAATTCTCCCAAACTCCACAAAAGCCTAAGTCCTGCTAGTTTCAGTTATGATCATTAAAAACGTCTTGCATGGTTTCTGTGAGCTGAGCTGGCAGTCCTCTCAAGCTCTGAACCTGGATTATGCCTTAAATGCACAGGACTGGAAATTTGGTTGCAATGATCTACTAGATAGAGACGCAGGAACTTGGGGGTCTAACAACAGGGAACAAAGGACGAGACAAACATTAAGCCTTTGGAGGGACACTGATGGGAGCTACTCTACCCCAGATGCCTTGGCTCTTGGTGGCAGGTTACATATCGTATATACTGGTATATAAGGGAACTCGCATATAAGATGAGGTCAATATTTTGGGCTGTTTTTCTGGTTTGTCATATGTGGGGCATATAAGAGGACCCCCGATATTTGCTTTTCAGTTTCAAGGGGATATTATACACCAGTATATATGGGTATTTGTCAGCTGGAAGCTTCTAGACTCTTATGACACCACATCACTATATTCTAGCTAACAGCCACATTCCTGTTCTTATTTGGAGGCCGACGGTGGCCCACAATGGGGCTGGCTGGCTGGGGTCAGCTGGGGGGAACAGCCGGCTCCTCCATAGCAGACAGAGCTGGGCCAGAGGGAGAAGGCTCCAAGCAGCACATAACATAGGACAAGCTCCTTCAGTATCAGCAAGAAGTTTTTAAAAATAATTATTAATAAAAACAAGCTTGCAAATACTTTTTTAAAAAATGATGAATATATAATGATGAAAATTTTTCACCTGGCATATAAGAACCCCCCAACTTTTGCCTCACTATTTCCAGTTTCAAGAGTTGTCTTATACGCCAGTATATATGAAAGTTTGCATGCAGAACACCTTGGGCTCAAGGATCACGCAGCACGAAGAAGAGATATCTCTACCCAAGGTCCTAGATGGTCAGTGACCAGCCTTCCCCAACCCAGGGCCCTCTGAATCTACTGGACTACGTCTCCCAAAATCCACAGCCAGGATGGTCACCCTGCCTAGGAATGGTGGGAGTTGTCACCCAATAAATGTGGAGGATCCCAGATTAGGGAAAGCTGTGGCAGACAGTACTAATAGCCCGAATATATAAAAGAGAGTGTGAAACACTCAAAAGAAAGAGTTGCCCCTGTTGCTGGCTCTAATTTTTCTGCAATACTTCCCCTTTCTTCAATCTTCTCTCTGTGTAGCTGCCTCGGATTTTGGACTCATTCTTCCTTCCAGACGAGACACAAGAATACAATACAGAGGGCTGCCATGTAGCTAAGGACCCTCTGACAGTGAAAGGATAAACGAGGAGGAAGATAGCAGCACCAAACAATAGCCCTCCCTTCAAGCAATGCATTCCACTTCTTCTCCCCCTTCAGCTGACCAGTGCCTTGGAAACTCAGTGCAGCTACTCAACCACAGTGAAAGGGAGTGGGAGAACTCCTTAGCGAGTCAGCTACTGCGGTGGCTCACCAACCAGTTGAACAATGGGAACCTTGCAGCAGATAGAAAACCTAGCAGGCACAAATAAAGTCAGATTTCCATTGGTGGTTTAGGCCCACTAGAACACCTGGGAAGTGCTGGGGGTGCTATATTCAGACTTAAGAATTGAGTCAGAGGGATGGCATTCATGTGAGAGCTTTTATTAGAAAGGGGGCACTCTGGCGGCTGTTTCTACCTCACTTTCCATCTTCCTCCATCCAGTGACAAGGAATTTCTTGCATGTGTATTAAGATATATTAAGATGCATCTCTGTATATGTATATTAAGATGTATCTCAGCCTTCATGATCTCCCTGCCTTTCCCTACTTG